CACACACACACACACACACACACGCGCGCGCGCGCGCACAGCCTGGTGCAGCTGCCATGGATCCCTTGCGAGGCCTCGTGGCGTTGCCTCGTCTGTGGACGCAAGCACACGTGGCCTGGTGGCGCTAACCTGTATGCTTGCATGGGCGTGACCCGGCGACACTGCCCCACCATAGAGGAAAGAACGACGGGCCTTCGGCGGCACAAAGCCATGAAAGGTCCAAAGGGCAAGCAGTGGAATTGTCGTTAATCCTGGACGGATGATATTACTTCTGCCTTTTTTTATAAAAGTAAAAAAGATTAAATTTCACAAAACTACGACTATTTGCATGAGTAACAGAAAACTACAACTTTTGAGTTCGATTACAGAAAACTATGACTATTTTTACCTCTGGTAACACTAAACTACAACTTTTTGATCTGGCCCCACATGTCAGCCACTTATTCAGCAAAATAGAGATGTGTGGCTGACATGTGGGTCCAGGTCCAAATCTCATGAAATTTCTGAAATTGTACCCAAAACTCATAGTTTTCTATTACTTGGATGAATAGTCATTGTTTTCTGCAATTTACTCAAGAAAAAATTGCACTTTACGTATTCTATGCATGAGATAATACATACAGCGCCAGTACCGAATTGCTACGAATATATCTGTACTTCTGGAGTGGATTAAATTGTCCAGACCTTAACCCCTTCAAGGTGTGCTCTCACTTTCATACGTAACCTTTTATATGCATACTAAGCATAACCTTTTCTGCTCAACTTGTTTTAAGTAGTTCGTTTCTTATTTCACAATCATAGAACATGGGATCACATAAAGTCAATTAGGCGGGGCATTGTGGGCATTCCTTCCCTTTCAAACATTGTAGAAAAACAGGTGAAGTTGTTTTACCAAACGGTTCAAGAAGCAGTTTCATCTCCATCAACCAACAACAGGAGGTGAAGTTTCACACATGGAGTTGGATCCGGAGCTGTTTTCGGTGGAGCTGAATCCCTACGAAAGGGGCCAAGCTTGACGGATCGATCAATCCGGAGAGGAAGCAAGGCGTGTTCTTGTGAGCTTCGGTGATGTGTTTGTTTAGGGCTTTGGTCTCGCTGGCTGGTTCAATACTTCAGTTGGCGTTAGGTGTAGTGGTGGTCACGCAGGTAAGATTCTTTTTGTGGTTGCTTATGAAAGGAAGAAGGATTGCCTCCTGGTTTACTCGTCGTTGGAGCTTTGAGTGATGGTTATTTTAATGACGAGCTGGTGATAGGATTAGGGCCAAAAGGACAATAATAGGTGCATCACATGTCCTGCATAAGGCAGGATGCTGCACTGCCGGATTATTGGTGAGTGAAGTTGGGATAATTTATCGGCCAAACGTTTGAAACTTTCCTTGATCCAGAATAGATGTAGAAGTCGTGGATCGTAGACACGAAGAAACAGATCGCATATTAGGGATCGTAGACATGTGATCCACGGGCAGACATGCTCGTATTTTGGATAGTTGCAGCCCTCATACTGGATAGTTGCAGCGACAAATACGAGAGAATCTCAATATGCATCTTTAGCGCACGATGCGTTCACATAGGTAAGAACATGGTGACCGTGAACATGCTGCCTGAACCCAGGCCCGGCTCTAGGGCATGGCCATGAGGGCGATGGCCCAGGGCCCAGAGAAAGAAGGGGCCCAAAATTTTCTATACACGTGTCGGATCAGGATCGCCTGCCTTCAGGCTTTTGAAGTCACGCCGTGACTTCAGGCTGTATCAGCCGTCCAAACTATCCAGCAGCTCACAGCAAATCAAACTCGTTCAGGCCCGCTGAGAGAAAGAATCCCACGCTGCCTCGTTGCTCGTTGGCCCAGCAAACCCACGACACCCAGGATGCGGGAGCACAGACGGAATGGAGGGAAAAATGACGTAGTAAATGCACGCTGGAGGGAAAATGAGTATTCCATGCTCTGTTTTGACGCCAGAACTGCAGCGATTCTTTCTCTCCCCTTTCATCCTCTTCCCAGTCTACCTCTAAGCGGGATGCAGCAGGGAGAGATGGAAGAAGATCCCGGTGAAAAGCACCACGAATGCAACAGGTAAACAAAGCGACCCACATGTTTGTTATTTCTGAAACTGAGGTTGATATTCAGATCGCTCATGGGGCACAATTTCGACTTTTGAATTTTCAGTGATGGAGGTATGTTCCCTGTAACAGTTGCCATATTTCAATCAAATTTCATTGCTTTACTTCTTTTTTTTCTCCCCATGTAGCGACAAGAGGCTGGAAATGGTGGCATGGAAACTCAAGGTCCTATGGCTTATAGTTCTGGGAATAACCCGAGTGACCTCCCAGAATATGGAGCTATTACTAGCTTCACTCAGCTGCTGATGGTAATTTTGGTTACGTAAAAATACAAATTTATATACTGATTGCAGTGTTACTAAGACCTTTCCTTGTTTTTTCACTTCACAGGAACCAACTAGCAAAGACCTTGGCACTTAAGACCAATTTTAGTCAAGGAGTTTGCAGTCCAGAGAACTGATTTTGTCTTGATGTATTTTGAATCAGATATGTATATATTGCAAACTAAGGAGTTTGCTTTATGGTGCTACTCTTTACAGTTCTGCAATGTTTCAGTTCTGCAATGCTACTATTATTCTACTACTAGTAATTTCTGTAATGTTTCAGTTCTATTTTCACTGTCAGTAGCAAATTTGAATGTTTCCTGGGCGTTCAACAGTTTTTCAGGCTGCAATAGCGTTTCAGACCAGCGTCCAGAGCGCTAATGTGATTTCCTGGGCCGAACTAGTTGTGCAAGCTTCGTTGTTGTTGGCCCAACCGAACTAGATTTGCTGGTGATGGCCAAATGGGCCGCCCGGCACGGCACGGCCCAAGCCCGAATAGGCACGGCCCATTTAATTTTCAGGCCGGCACGGCACGCAATTCATTTCGGGCCGTGCCGTGCAAGCCCACGGGCTTCCCCCTCGGCCCGTGGCCCGGCACGAAATGGCATTTTCGTGCCTAATCGTGCCGTGCCGGCCCGCGAGCACGACGGCCCATTTCACTATTTCAGCCTAATAGTGTTGAAAACCTTGAAAATTAGACAAAAAATATGACAAAGTGGAGACTTGAACCTCCAACCTCTAGATTAGAAAGCAAGATACTTACCACTAGACTACTTCATGGTTGTTGTTCTATATGAAACATAAACTATATTTATATGAAACATAAACAATATTTAATATCGGGCCGTGCCGTGCCGCCCGTCGGGCCGCACCCTCGGCCCAAGCCCGGCCCGACGGTCCGTGCCGGGCCAGCCCGGCCCGTAAATATTTCGTGCCGTGCCGGGTTCGTGTCGGGCAAAAAAAAAAACGTGCTTCGGGCCTACCCGAATAGCCCGACCCATTTGGCCATCACTACTTCTGCCCACGCTCGTCTGCGTGCGTGCGAGCCGCCGGATGGCTTGGACGGCGGATGCAGCGTGAAGTCACGCTGTGACTTCAAAAGCCTGAAGTAGTGATGGCCACATGGGCCGCCCGGCACGGCCCGAGCCCGAATAGGCACGGCCCATTTAATTTTCGGGCCGGCACGGCACGCAATTCATTTCGGGTTGTGCCGTGCCAGCCCACGGGCTCCCCCCTCGGCTCGTGGCCTGGCACGAAATGGCATTTTCGTGCCTAATCGTGCCGTGCCGGCCCGCGAGCACGGCGGCCTATTTCACTATTTCAGTCCAATAGTGTTGAAAACCTTGAAAATCAGACAAAAAAAATGACAAAATGGAGACTTGAACCTCCAACCTCTAGCTTAGGAAGCAAGATACTTACCACTAGACTACTTCATGCTTGTTGTTCTATATGAAACATAAACTATATTTATATGAAACATAAACTATATTTAATATTGAGTCGGGCCGCACCCTCGGCCCAAGCACGGCCTGACGGTCCGTGCCGGGCCAGCCCGGCCCGTAAATATTTCGTGCCGTGCCGGGTTCGTGTCGGGCCAAAAAAAAAACGTGCTTCGGGCCTGCCCGAATAGCCCGGCCCATTTGGCCATCACTACTTCTGCCCACGCTCGTCTGCGTGCGTGCGAGCCGCCGAATGGCTTGGACGGCGGATGCAGCGTGAAGTCACGCTGTGACTTCAAAAGCCTGAAGTAGTGATGGCCACATGGGCCGCCCGGCACGGCACGCAATTCATTTCGGGCTGTGCCGTGCCAGCCCACGGGCTCCCCCCTCGGCTCGTGGCCCGGCACGAAATGGCATTTTCGTGCCTAATCGTGCCGTGCCGGCCCGCGAGCACGGCGGCCCATTTCACTATTTCAGCCCAATAGTGTTGAAAACCTTGAAAATCAGACAAAAAATATGACAAAGTGGAGACTTGAACCTCCAACCTCTAGCTTAGGAAGCAAGATACTTACCACTAGACTGCTTCATGCTTGTTGTTCTATATGAAACATAAACTATATTTATATGAAACATAAACTATATTTAATATCGAGCCGTGCCGTGCCGCCCGTCGGGCCGCACCCTCGGCCCAAGCACGGCCCGACGGTCCGTGCCGGGCCAGCCCGGCCCGTAAATATTTCGTGCCGTGCCGGGTTCGTGTCGGGCCAAAAAAAAAAACGTGCTTCGGGCCTGCCCGAATAGCCCGACCCATTTGGCCATCACTACTTCTGCCCACGCTCGTCTGCGTGCGTGCGAGCCGCCGGATGGCTTGGACGGCGGATGCAGCGTGAAGTCACGCTGTGACTTCAAAAGACTGAAGTAGTGATGGCCAAATGGGCCGCCCGGCACGGCACGGCCCGAGCCCGAATAGGCACGGCCCATTTAATTTTCGGGCCGGCACGGCACGCAATTCATTTCGGGCCGTGCCGTGCCAGCCCACGGGCTCCCCCCTCGGCCCGTGGCCCGGCACGAAATGGCATTTTCGTGCCTAATCGTGCCGTGCCGGCCCGCGAGCACGGCGGCCCATTTCACTATTTCAGCCCAATAGTGTTGAAAACCTTGAAAATCAGACAAAAAATATGACAAAGTGGAGACTTGAACCTCCAACCTCTAGCTTAGGAAGCAAGATACTTACCACTAGACTACTTCATGCTTGTTGTTCTATATGAAACATAAACTATATTTATATGAAACATAAACTATATTTAATATCGAGCCGTGCCGTGCCGCCCGTCGGGCCGCACCCTCGGCCCAAGCACGGCCCGACGGTCCGTGCCGGGCCAGCCCGGCCCGTAAATATTTCGTGCCGTGCCGGGTTCGTGTCGGGCCAAAAAAAAAACGTGCTTCGGGCCTGCCCGAATAGCCTGGCCCATTTGGCCATCACTAGCGTGAAGGCCCAAGGCAGAGAGGGAGATAGAGCAATTTTTCTACAGCCCAGCTTGCCTCACGCTCGGCAGATTGGCACTTCGGATTGCTCGGTTAGGTTCTTGTTTCTGAGCGCAATACTCAGAACTTGTTGGTACCCGATTGAGTTCATTTTGTGGGTTGAACTGAGCCCCAAATGTGGCACCCCAAGTCCAGCATCCCAAATGTCCATTTTCCTCTTTGCTGATATTCTTTTCATTGTTCATAACGAATCTGGGCTGACATGGAAGAGAAATAGTAATTCGGATAAGCTCATGGTATCCAAACCATTGATCGATCACCTGGCACCTGCTGAAAGGATAGTAAAGTAGACTAAGTCAACCGTGTGACTCCTTGCTGTCTGGCAGCCAGTAAAACAGAGCTCAGTTCACCCTAGTAGAAGAAAATAGGGATGGAGCGCGTGCAGAAAAAAAGCCTGATCTCCGTTCATGCTAAAATCTCATCAAGCCTTTGCTTAACATGACACATTCATGTCAATTTGTGTTTTGGGGTGCGTATTAGCATTAGCCACTGACTTGCAACAAAGTTTTTTTTAATGGTTTCGTGAGACAAGGGCCATGTTTGGGTAAAGATTTGATTTAACAGTATCTGATTCACGACCTAACTGATATCTATGGCTTAGAACATGAAGGTTTGCAGGAGTTTCATATTATGGAAATTTTTTTTTGGCTAAATCACGTTTTCAAGATCATTCATGCTGCCCGATCTGGAAAGTTGTTACAGGTATATGCACCCAGTCAATGGAGAACTGAAGAGGTCTTATTGTACTTTTAATGGCTTTATTCCCCTAGTTGATCAACCAAATAAAGAAGAATTCGTGGATCTGCCATGAGAGTATCTTTTACTCCCTTACATTTTTAATTGATAATTTAAGACAGCTTAAAAACGAACTGAAAAATTTACCCTAACATCATCAACTAAAGATCAGAGGGAGTAAAACTGAAACCTTGTCCTATGGCTGAAAGAGTGGCTAAATTAAAGGTCAAAAACAAACGAACCTTCTGTTTATTGTTTTGTACGTCATGTTATATCACCAAGCAATTCATCACTATATACAGCACATGTACACACACATGACCCAAGAATACATGATTCCAGCCGCATGCTCCTCTAAACACACACACTGCAATGGACGTGATCACCGTTTGTGGATGGAATCCACAAACAACAATAGCCACCGATGACGAACACACGCTAGCTGCTCTGCACATTCACCTGCGAATTTACTGACAATCTAATCGCGGCAACGCCTCTAGTAATTACTATTACAAGCCCCTTCTGCATGCACACACGCTTCTAATTACTCATCGATCGGAAATAGACACGCTCTCCACCTCGCCATCGATCGATCGGTTTCGCGGGTCAGGCGGTGCCCTCGACGCGCGCCTTGGTGACGCCGGCGCACGCGTCGACGAAGTCGCCGTCGATGAAGTCGGTGGAGAAGATTTGCAGCTTGTCGCCGAGCCCCTTTGCGAAGACCTCGGCGATGAAGAGGCGCGCGTACCCGCGGATCCGGCGCGTGACGGGCCTGACGCAGAGCACCGGGTTGTCGGCCTGCGGTGTCACCGTGTTCTCCACCCGGTAGAAGAACCTCCGGTCGGCCACGGGCGGCTGCTGGCCCAGGAACTTGATGTTGCTTTCGAACTTTGTCTCCGGCAGGTCCGTGTCGATCCAGTTGTCCCTGAGGTACCCCGCGCTCCAGAGCGGCTCCCCGGGCTTGGGCGCCGGCGACTTGCGCGGCTTCCACACGCAGATCACGCGGCGCGGGAGCAGCTCGGCGATCGTCTTGTGGAACACGGCCTCGTCCTGCTGGATCAGGTGGTCGCCCAGCTGCTCCACCAGGAACTTGGCGAACTCCGGCGGGTCGTCGTGGCCGAACTCGGTGCGTATCTCGAGTATCACCAATTCGGACTGCGTCTCACCGAGGAACCGCTTGACGTCGTCGAGGACGACGTCGACGGGGTACGTCGCCAGCACGCCGTGGCAGACGCGGCGCTCCTCCTGGACGCGCACGTCGATGACGCGCGCGCCCGTGGCCAGCTGCTCGTACACGGACAGCGACTGGCACTGCGCGAAGGGGCGGGTCACGAACGGGATGCCGATCTTGTTGGTGGCCGAGTCGTGGGTGCCCGGCCACACCACCTGGTGCACGCGCACGCGGTCGGGGCCCAGCTCCGCCATCCACCGCGCCCGGTCCGCCGGCCGGTGCTCCGACCCCGGGAACGTCTCGCCGGCGGACGACAGAAGCGTGGACAGCGCATGCTTCTGGCTGGTCACCAGCTTGCGCCGCTCCACCTGCTTGGAGAAGAAGGCGCCCATGGCGTCCAGCGGATTGGTGCCGTTCTTGCCTGAGCCGTTGCTAGCCATTATAAATACGCGAAGGATCCGGGTCTCTCGAGCTCTGACCTGGACAACGTCGCTGTAAGCTGGATGATTGATTGCAAGACGGCAAAGAAGAAAAAAATCCTACTAAGAGACTCAGAGCATGGGCGTGGCAACTTGTGGAGATAGAGGGCTTATTTGTAAGGGCTTGACTGATCAATCGATCGATCGATCTGGGGGAGGAAGGAAGGCGTGTTCTTGTGAGCTCCAAAAGCTGTTTTCTTAATAGATAGAAGGCTTCGGTTTCGTGGTTGGTTCAATACTTTCAGTTAGCGTTAGGTGTGGTAGTGGTGTCAGGCCGGCAAGATTTTTTTGTGTCTTATTGAAGGAAGAAGAAGGATTTTGGTTGGTTGCTTTACTCGTTTGGAGCCTGGGTGATGGTTTTCTTTAATGGCGACTTGGTGACAGGATTAGGGCCACAAGGACAATGACAGGTGCATCACATGTGCTGCATAAAGCACAATATGCTGCACTATCGGATTATTGGCGAGTGGAGGTTCCTGGTTCTTCAAAAGTTGAGGATAATTTGTCGGCCAAAATGTTTGAAACGTTTCGTGATCCAGATTGAAAAGTCGTGGATTGTAGACACGCAGTAACGGAGCAACTATCAGGGACGGTACGGCAGCCGTGTGCACTGGCAGACATGCTCGTATACTGGATAGTGGCAGTGACAAACACGAGAGCATCTCAATATGCATCTTTAGCACATGATGTATTATCATAGGTAAGCACTAAGTTGCGAGATAAATGACCACGAACATCACACTACCTGTAGGTGAGGAAACCGTTGAGTAACAGATGCCCTCCACAAATAATATGATCACAAAACCAATAAAACAGGATCGACGTACGATCGCTGTCCAACATGGACCACGAGTACATACACGCGTTTGGTTCAGAGCAACACCGTGCTAAGCCAACATTTAGCCATATCCTTAATCTGGCCTTCACTTTGATGGCAAAATTTGGTCACGCACGGACAAGCCATAACCGCAGGGAAAAGAAAATTGATTGAGCCGGAGGGACTTCCCAGCTTTGCCATGGACCATCCAACTAGGTCCTGTTTGGATTATTTAGATCTAAAGTTTAGATGGAGCTAAAGTTTGGATCTTTTTAGTTTCGAGAGATGGGGCGCAAACCACACGAGCTCATCATGTTATACAATACCCCATGAACATTTTCAAGCTCGATAGAGAAGGTCAACCAATGTCTTCGCGTCCAACTGGTTCAACAACTCCAGACGCGGTATGCCATGGATGCACACGAATAACTTTGCCAATCATACGATGCCGGTAGTAGTTGTTTACTCAGGTCGATCATGTCTTCCACATGGGCTCCGAAACAATATCATATTGGCAGGAGTGCTAGCGCAGCGCCACTCAAATGTCCGAAACAATGTCTCGCCTGGAAAGACCCAGTTATATTCCACCAATTGATGGTTTCAGACGGACAAGCTGAACTATACAAAATACGCTTATGGAGGGGCAAAAAGAATGCACCCTCCATTCGCCAATTATTGACTTCCTGACAAGAGAAATGAGCTAAAAGGCAACATCGGTGGCCTTCGATTTTATTATGGAGGGAGTATATATACCCGGGAGATTTTAATCAGACAATGTCAGTCATTTATAATCCCTTTTTCGCTAAAACCAGTACTCTGGCGACTTTTACTGCTTTGCTTAATTGACATATTCATTGATTGGAATGGTAGACCTGATTTCACCTCGAAATGGTTGTTGGCAGAGGTTATCAGACACACTGTTGACATTCTTTTTCTAATACTGTAATACATATAAATTCCGTTAAAAAAAGGATTAAAAACAATCATTGCATGCCACCTGGTGCAACTGAACAAAAACTTCTCTTTTATACGAGTATATATAAATGATGCAAAGACAACCTATCACTCGTTCTCCCAGGACAGCTGGCCCTTCATTTCTTGACAAAGATAGGCAACGCCATAAAATAATAGCACGAGTGCAATTTGTTAAGCCACAGTAGCTGCCATACAAGCATTGCTGTGCAATAAGCTCAGTTAAGTTCGTCAGATTTCTCTACCACAAGCCATTTCTAATAAGAAATTTCATATGTTGGTTGAGAAGATAAGCTAGCCAACCAGGAGCATAAAAAAGCTTTAGATCTCTGAGCTGGCATTTGTTTGTTAGACAACCAGCAGAAGGCCACATATTGTTAGTGTTACAACAAACAACTAAATACAGGGTTAAAATATGTACCTGTCCTGGCTAAGAACTTTGTGCTGATTCACATCGCCATGCCATCAGTACATGTGACCAAGTTATATACTGGACTCCTTAATCCTTATGAAAACTTAAAGTTAGCACAAA